AAGTTGGAGCGCGCAGCCAGGGTGGGGTTTGGTGGGGGAAGTCCGCGGGGGCGGCGACGAACTCACCGTGGCCGGGAGACGTGGTTGTCCCAGGGCGCGTGGGCCGGCGGGCCGCGTGGCGCCGCCGAGTTGCAGGAAAAAGTGCCAGGTAGTGGAGGGCGCCCAGCGCCACCGCGAGCGGGGCTCCCATGGTGCGCGCTCGGGCCAGGGGCGCCGCCGCCTCACATCGGGGCTCAGGAGACCGCAGACCCTGCGCCCGCCGTCCCCTGCCGGATGCGGCCTGGCTGCCCGGCTGCAACCTCTGCCCCCTGCCCGCTGAACCCGGCCCGACCCGGCTCCAGCCCTCGCCAGGCTCCGGCCCAGCCCCAGCTGCTGGTAGCGAGCGCACGCCCAACCGGCCGCCTCCGACTGCGGGACTCTTCCCTTCCGCGGAAGGCCACTGTGCGCGGCTCGCCGCCGCACCCCCTCCTTCCCACTCCTCCCTCCCGCCCCGAGGAGGCGGTGGCGGAGGGATCTGCCGCTTGATTTATCATCAAAGTTTTGCCCAGGCTGGAATTTTTAAAGCGGTACCCTCAACTTCCCCGCCCGAGAGCACAGGTAGGGGACGGGATGGGGTGGAGGAAGCCACCCCAGGGACCCGGTTCCCTCAAAACATAAAACCACTGGCTTCAGAAGCAGAAATACTACCCAACGGGATAAGAAAGGAAACCAATCCACCTGCCGCCAGACCCAACGCGCAGAGAGGGACTCCTCAACTTTGCTAGCAGGACGGTGCCGGGTCAGGGGGGCAGGTCGGGGTGGAGGTGACAGTGAGGAGGGTAGAAATCAGGGCTAGAGCCCAAGAGACCTGGTTATAGTCCTGCCGCAGCCTTTGAAATCCTGTGTGATCATGTCCGGGTGTCCACCCCTGTCTGAATCTCTTGGTCTTCATCTGAGACATGGAAATAATAGCTACCTCCAGAGGTCATGGTGAGGATTTACGAAAACGTGTGTCTAAAGCACTTAGCATAATGCCACCGTCATGGTAGGAGCGCAATAGTTATTATTGTTGTTCCCCTCCCTGGGACTCAGTTTTCGTGTCTGTATAATGGGAGTGAGGTAGGCTAGCTGCTGGGGCTCCTTCTAACAGAGTTGCTGGACTCAGTGCAGTGGATTGGATCACTCCCTTCTGGACTCCAGGGCTCCCTTCCTAGGACGACTGGCCTCATGGAATATTAGGGCGGGGGGAGGGGATAGCTAGCGAAGCCACTCTCATTAACAAGAGCAGGAATCCAACTAGATCCTCTGATCCCTTCCCTGACCGGTTTACTGGGGCTGTTGGGAGAGACTTTCAGTACAGACACAAGGGTGGACTGATGGCCCCATCTAAAAGATGAGGAAGTACATTAAATTAGAGAAGTGTCTTCTCCGAGGTCCCACGGTGAGTCTGGGGCGAGGTCGCTGAAGCCCAGGTAGGTCCCTCCTTCTCTCATCCTTTGTCCTTTTCCAGGCGGCTCTGCTGAGGTTTCAGCACCACGGAGAGGACAGCGCCAACCCGGCAACCAGCCTCTTTAGGCCTCACGGACGGGACTGCGCCTCGGCTGGCTCTTAGACGCGAGAATTCAGCACCATGGACAGAGCTATCGATTTCCCCACCAGCCCTCGCGGAGTTCAGCACCGCAGGTGCCCCGCTCTCCCTTCCAGATCACAGGCGTATCCTGTGGATAGCATTGTGACAACGCCCCAAGTTTGAGAATGGGGTTAGAGCCCTAGGGACAGCCCCCCTCCACCTCTCTGTCTTTACTCTGTCCTCTCACTCTCTCTTCTAATATTATGGCGGGCAGCACGCCGGATGGGGCCTGTGGCCGCCAGCAAATATCCAGTTCATTCAAAACTAGCCAGCCTCCTGAAGTGTCGTGCACTTACAAGTAATGTTTCAACACAACTGACAGCCCCCACAGGACCAGCGGCGCAGCGCTGTTTCAGCGCCATAGACAGATCCTGGCCTTTTTTAACCAGCTTCTGGGGCCCGCATTCACTACAGGAAATGGCCGGTTTTGTTGTTGTTGTTTGTTTTTCCGAATTGATTTACTAATCGCTTCCTTCCCACACAGAAGTGTCATGGATTCTACAAAAGCGTTTTTTTTCATTCATTAATTCGTCTGAGCCCCGCTCCCAATGCAAAGGACTCCATCGCCCCCATTATAAAGATGAAGAAACTAAGAATCTAGAAGATCACGTAGCAGTGCCGAGTCTGAAACCTAGGACTCTTTTAATTCCAGCCTGAGATCTTTCCAGAAAAATGTGGTGGCAAAACTGGCGCTCAAATTCAGGGCTTTCTTCTCACAAACCACAGATTGGGGGTGAGGGGTGTTATCAAGAAAGAAGACAGGGAGAGAGAGGAGATTAGAAGAGAGAAGAGAAAACAAGTGATTGCCTGGGGGCTGCAGAGGAGGGAGGCCGGGGAACACACTGCTGCTCTGCCAGTAACCCACCGGCTGACCTTCAGGAGTCCTTTCTCCCCATAGTCTGGGACAGGGCTAAACCCAGTAACCTCTAAGATTCCTTCAAGGACAGACCTCCAGGGATTTTATGACTTCGAAAAGGCTCATGCTGTAATGGCTTGGCTCAAAACCCTCCAATGGCCTTGTTTATTTGAGAAATCCTGACTTCTTTAGTTTGCATTCAAGGTTCCAGCCTCACCTCCTGCATATACCTTCTGCTCCAGGCACAATTCCTTCCATGTTCCCTCCCTGAACATGCCCTAACTTCAGCATGTCCTTACCCTTCCCAGTGCTTCCACTCTGCTTGCATGCATGCCTTCTCTCCTATCTAGCTGAGTCCCCATTGGCCACGGTCCAGCCTGACTCTTTCACAGAAAGTAATGCCTGCTGCCTTCTCCTAGTCCCCGGGCCTCTATTGGCCCATCACTGTCTACCCAGCACTATGCTAAGAACTTTAATTATCTCACTTATATTTCAGAACAACCAGGTCATATAGAGTAGAATAGTGTGATTATAAGTGTGGACTCTAGTTTTAAATCCTGCCACTTGCTAGCCATGTGACCTTAGACAAGTTACTTAGCCTTTCTGTGCCTGAGCTTCTCATCTGTAAAACTGAGATAATAATGCCTCTGTCACATGATTATTGTGAAGATTAAAATGACTTGCTACATGGAAAGGTCTTAGAATAGCCTGAAACATAGCAAATACATGATACATGTTGGCTATTATTATTAATAGATAAGGAAACATGCTCAGAGAGGTTAAGAATCTTGTCTAATGTCACACAGCAAGGCAGTCGTAGAGGCGTAATATGTTTGATTGCAGGACACATGCTCTTAGGCATAATACCTAAGCACATCTAGTTCAATGTACCCCTTTGCAGCTTAGAAAATTAAGACCCAGAGAGGATGAGTGAATTCCTCAGAGTTACACAGCCAACCATGACAAAACTAGATCCAAGTCCTCTGCCTCCCAGTTCACGGCTCCCCCGCTATACCATTCTGCCCCATATGCATTTCCTACAGCACCTAAATTGCTCTTTACAGTTTATAAAGCACATTCACATCCATGATCCAGCACAGGTTGCACAATGAGGTGGGGCAGAAGCTGGATGTGACAGGATGAATCCTCGGCCCATATTCCTCCCCTGTGTCATCCTGTCTCTTTTCTGCTTCACTGATCCAAGTGCCAACTGCAGGCACTGTGGAAGCTGGGAGCCTCGTGAAGGCTGGTGGTGAACACAGACTATCCCGGAAAATGGTCTCTGGGAATTCACCAGGGTGGGTGACTCTTGTCACTCATTTCACTCGGGGAACGCTCCAGGAGATAGTAAGCTTCCCGTCCCTGGAGGCAATTAAACAAGCATCCAATGGTCTCGTGGATACCAGGAGGCAAATATCACTGCTATTTCCATTACCCAAAGGAAGCTCAGAAGGCGAACATCATGTCAAGCATTTCTGTCAGGAAAGATGATCTTTTTAAAGTCCCTCCCCCCCCCCCACCAAGTAGGGGATCTCACACTGTCCCCTCCTCTGACCCAAGCTCCCTGGAGAGTCCACACCCTCCCCTGACTCAGGGAGGCTACCCTCCCTTCCCTCCTTGAGAGGTGTCACTTGAGCGCCACGGCTCTGTCAGTGGTAACAGCCGTAAGATTTGTCCTTTTAATCCAGAATCAATAGCAAATTTCATTTAAAAATAAATTAAACCAGGCATTGGAAATCATTCACCGTGTGGGCCAGCACCCTATATAGTGCCGTCTAAATGGCTTCCTTTTGCTCATCTATCAATGCCAAGATGGGGGAAATACCTAAGCTGCCTGATTCATGGAGAAACTACTTAAATGTATCAGCCCCTAACAATGAGCAATGTGAGCCCAGAGTTGCACCTTTTAACACACCAATAACATGTGGAGCACGGCTTCATAGGAGCTTATCAGAGACCCCTCGGTCACTGGCTTCGAGGGAACCCATTTATAAGGGGGAACAATGGCTTCAGTATGTAGCTGCCTAATTTCCAGAATGTATTACTGAGCTCAGAGGAGCAATGGAATCCTATTAAACTCTTATCTGCCATGGGAGGGCTGAAACCGGCAGGGGAAGCCAGACTTGGTATAGACCTGCCCGGAAAACACCAGGGCTGACCCTGGGAGGTGGGGGAACAAGCCCAGAGGGGGCAGGCAGGCGGGGCCCAGATGTGTGAAAATATGTGCATTAATAGAGCTCCAGTTTCCAGCGATTACGTTTACATCAGTGAATAAAACTTGGCAATAAAACATCGGAGTGCGTCTCAGACAGCATTTCCTTTTACAGCCTGGTGTATTTCACTCATTATAACAGGAGGCAAGGAGCTTGAGGTGTCCCCAGTTCTCCCCCTTTAATTAAACTTCCTAAATTACTGCCCAAGATTTGGATAAAGGGAGAGACTTACGGCTCTGCTAATCGCCATCTCGGTTCCCGCCCCAGCACTGTGGTGGCCCGGACTGTACCAGTTCCAATATTATTAAAGTGAAATACTGTGGGCATTGCCTGCCGGGGCTCTGGTTTGTAAAAGGAGATGCAACCTCAGGAGAGAAATTAGCTCAGGTTCGGGAAGGAGGCTTGGGTTCTAGGACTGGGTTGCCATCACCTCGCTGTGTGACCTAGTTCAATGTGCCCTCTTTGCAGCTTAGGAAATTAAGACCCAGAGAGGACGAGTGAATTCTCTGAGC